AAAAACAGTTACCACTGAACTAGCGTTTTTATTCAGTAGTATATTTACTTTTTATCTTTGTTTTAAATCACTTTAATTTAGCAGCTGTAATAATGTAGGATTCATTTATCAGAGTGTACATGCAGTTATCCCAGCATTACGTGACATTTTATCAGACTATACATGCAGGTCTCCTACAATCACGTGACAGTTTATCAGAGTATGCATGTAGTATACATGTAGTTATCCTATAATAACTTGACATTTTATCAGAGAATACATTAAGTTATCCAATCATCATTTGACTATTTATTGGAGTATATATACAAAACTATCCGATAACTACGTGGCATTTTATCAAAGTATCATCCCTGCAGGTCGGGGATAGAGAAAGTAATACACCTGTTGTGACTCACTGAAAGAATCGTAAGAGGCGACTAATACTGGACCCCCTGCAGAATAAGGGATTCGTTTTTGTGTCTTCTGCTTGGGGACACAAAAGCGCCAAAATAAATCTGCAACACAAATTGCTATATTTGTGATTTTTATTTCTCTCTACTTCTAAATACCTTTTATTTCCTTGCGTCTTGCTTTGCAACACCTCACTGTTGGCTTTAATGTTGAAAGTTCGTCCAAATCAGACAGGCAATGGGTTCTTGCCCTGGGTCAGGACATACCAAAGTCCTTAAACATGATCGATGTTATTCCCTGCTTGGCTTTCAGCATTAAGGTTAATGGCAACAATTGGTTCACCCGTTGTCAGTATCGGGCTACCATGTGAAATGATGTGCTTGGTGCCTTCGTCATGGTATTTCATAGTCTCGTTCAACCAGACTCTTGTTGGTTGCGCAAGCTACGCCGAACAGAGAGTCTGGTCAACCCAGTGCTTTCGTTTTATGACATCATAACAAGGTTTACCAGAATTCTGGTAAATTGTTTCATTGGTCAAAGGTTGACACACACTTTTCCACTTTTGAAGTAAAATTTGAGTGGCGCAAAATTACATTGAGTATTTTGATTCATGAACAAATTACCTGTACATGCATTCCTGAAGTACCCATGTTTTAACTTTGAACGAGAAAACTGTAAGAAAATGCTCAAAAAAGAATGATTTCATGTATTTTCTTTGGATATTTTACAATAATTCATAAAGTTGTTTTGAATGGTGTACAGGTAAATCTCACTTGCTTTGCATGCTTTTTTCCAACTTCGTTAGCCTTGGCTTTGTGCTCAGTTACGATTTATTCAGCGGAAATACATATCATTATTCTGTAGATTTGACACATTTTCTTACATTGTTCTCGATAATAGTGAAGTGAATACACTGGTACTTTAGGAATGCATGTATAGGTACGTGACCCTGTAGGGTGTAAAAATTGTACCAGCTGCCCCCAATTGCATGATCGTAAGAGGCGACTAAATTTGGGACCTTATCTCTTCTCTCCTTTCTAAATAACTTTCTTCTTCCATATGTCTCCCTTGACAATGCCTCACTTTTGGCCATTTGTTGAGCGTTCGCCCCTGTAAGGAAGGCTTTGGGTTCTGTCCCCTGGCCAAGACATACCAAAGTCTTTAAAAATTGTAGTTTCTACTCCTGCTAAACGCTCAGAAATGAAGGAGTGGGACGACTGGTTCGCCCGTTGTCAGTATAATGTGACTGGGTGGGGCGTCCTGCTTGGTGTCTTCGGCAGTATGTTTCAGTGAGGTAGCACTATAAAGTCGGCATCAGTTCCGCGCTATCACAAGGAGACAAACACGAACATATCGCAGCCTCCCAAAATATACACACATACACTACATGCATGCATCTTGCACACAGGGGAGGCCGTCCTTAAATGACCTTAGCTGTTAATAGGACGTTAAACAAAATCAAACAAACAAAAAAGTGTAGGTACGTTTTTTAAATTAAGTTCATTATTCAATGAAATGTGTAATGGCGTTGAAATAAAGTCCGGAAACGAAAGTAAAAACACTGCCCTCTGGTGATGGTAATTTTGAAGTACTGTGTTTGACCAGACTCTTGAACTACAAGTGATTAAGCGTCTGGTTGAACGAGACTAGGTATTTCAGTGAGATATCACTATGAAGTCGTGATCAGATCCGTGCTCTAACATAGAGGCTAATACACAAATATGCCCTGTCTCCGGCACATTTACACTCATGTACGCATACACAACACACATGGCGGCACGTCCGTATATAACATTAGCTGTTAATAGGACGTTAAACCCTTTAAACCAACCAACCATTTTCAAAGTAGTTATACAACCACAAAGTGGCATTTTGTAGTTATCCGGTCATGATATACTTAACCAGATTATATATGTAGTTATCCTGTCATTATATGAATTTTAATCATAATATAGTTGTTTTGTATAGTAAGTTTTTTAGACTAAAAAAAGTTCATAATATATACAGTCAAACCTGCCTTAACGGTCACCTTGAATAAACGGTCACCTGCATTAAACGGTCAGTTTATGGTCCTACCGATAAAATACACTATATATTGAACTCTAATTAAGCTGTCACCTGTCTGACGCGGCCAACCGCCACTAAAATCGGGTCCTAATTACGATCGCTGTCTGCAAACAGCGGCCAGCCGCCATTTTGTCTAGAAAGATACACTGCAACGATCACGTGATTACGCTTATTTTTAGTTGCAGTCATGTGATATTTTTACGATAGTGATTGAAACTCATGGCGGCGATTTTCATTGGTACTCGCTAAATCTGGTTAAGGTAAGTGAATTGTTTTTAAGGGCATATTTTAGTCACATAATATACAATGGTCAGTAGTTTATGTGTAGATCAAACGAGATGGACCGATCATCGAAGAGAAAAATACTTAATCTAACTGATCGCGTTAATGTGATTGAATTAGCGGAGCAAGGACATAGTTCATCCTCATTTGAAACTTACAATCATTGAATTGATTTTTTTCCTGCCAACACGACCAGTTTTTCACAACTAATGGATCAAGGACTTTTCAGGCGACGAAGATGGAGTTCCGTAAACGTCAGGTAAGTGTGATTTATTGATTGTTTAAAAAAATATTTTTTTATACTGAAATGAACGTCCTGGCAGTATTCATATCGCCATCCGATACTACCGCCAACTATCACCTAGCACGGATTTCCTCACTACATAATTCCCTCGATAAATTCGCAACCCTCGCACACCGTTTACTGATCAAATCAATAGCGGTAGGCATATGCTTTTTTTTATAAAACAATTAGTGATTTCTACTCATATTGTGTTTGTGTTGTACGGGGTACCTGTCTGTCAAAGTTTTGCCTTTAAATGGGTTTTGCTTTTAATATTTCTCCCATTCCATTGCAGTTGAGGCATATTTTGACTAAAATGGACAGACAGCCAGACTCTACAGGGTCCGACTTACTCAAACAGACATCACCGTTATAATAATTTCATTTATACATGCATATACATGTGTACATGTATCATGACTTTTCAGGTCGGCAGCATTTTCATTATACATGTACATGTAAATTATGGTACATGTATTTATGACTTCATGTAAATGTAATTTGTATGTCAACATATTGTCTTCTAAATGCATATGTGTATGAACAAATACATGATATTTTCTAATTGCTTGGCATTACATACATGTACACTGTATTTATAATAAAGTACACTTGAACCTAAATCTAAACTATTGTATCTTGATTATAAGTCACATGATCTGACCGCACCTTATTAAAGAGAAAATAATACCCCTGCTGTGACCCACTGCAAGTATCGTAAGAGGCGACCAATATCAGACTATACATGCAGGTATCCGTTAATCACGTGACAGTGTATCAGACTATACATGCAGGTATCCGTTAATCACGTGACAATTTATCAGACTATACATGCAAGTATCCGTTAATCACGTGACAGTTTATCAGAGAATACATTAAGATATCCAATCATCATTTGACATTTTATTGGGATTGATCAGCATATTGCTACACTAAATGCTTCTAAAAATAATATCAAATTGCCAAAACATGTATTTGTTTACGTCAGATATAAAGACGGGAACATTGTTTTAGTCAGTGGCATTGAGAGAATTGTCGTAAGACGGATGTTTAGTATACGTGGTCATCGTATTGTGATACAGTCACAGTAGCTATACAATCGAAGTTAGAGAAAAAAAACGTATGTTATTGATCAAGGCTGAAATATTGCTTTAATAAATGACCCGAAGAAAATTCACTACATATAGAGAAGTCTGTTTTTCAAAATAACGCGAGTTCATTGCTAAACGTGTATAATTGAACGAAGGCAACTTTATACTTTATACATGTGCTAGACTAACAACAGGTTAATAAGACAGGCACGGATTCGTACAAACGGACTCAAAATGCATAACACACAACTTAACATTTTACGATGAAAAACACACCATATATGTATATATCCTAAACAGTACTGGCAGTCATAGTAACGAATAATAGTCCAATTGGCGTCGTCAGATACACATAGGTATATACACCAGAGCTATAGTATATCATGTTACATGTAATTACCATGGTTAATTGATGCAATTATAAGTATGGATCGGCTGAGCGAGATAATACGCACGGGAATAAAAGAAAGGTTAATAAACACATTTCCTGAGATTGGAGATTGAATAAGTACATGCCGTTAAGATGTTATCAAATGATGATTATAAGCTTAAATATCCGCATGCTTTTAAAGTGTGTGCATATGTATTATATTTACATAGATATGATCTAAAGAAGTTCTAACTTTGTATATGTAACATATGTATTTGTGAACTCGTAACATCCTTCGCACGACCTCCATTATAAAACTGATCGTGTGTAGATTAACAAATGGATTGCTTCTAGAGCGTATTAGGAGGTGGTTTTAACTATATGTAATTACTGCGCGTAATGTTTACTACATGTATACACATATGTAGCTTCTACGTAAAGCAGTAGTGACAATGCATCACAAAACAAAGGATCTATTATTTTCCGTGAACTTGAACTTGTGTGGATGAACCCTTGTTGGGGCTGTTAATGCGTACAGATGTCCTCAGTATAAAAATATGTAGGTACATCTGCACCGGTCTCGCTAGTATATTAGGTAGGAGGGCCGCCTGTTATCGACCAAACCACCTACATATGTACGGTGTACTGGGCTTGGTACCACAACGCTTCCGACACTCGAGCTGTGAATACCGTACTGGGTATACCTTACTACTTCTTTTATCAGGTACGTTTGGTTTACACAACTATGTATTATATCTTACATCACAATATATATGCTTAATTACTATAGAGACTTCTGAATGTTTCAATACATGTAGATAATTTTTCACTTTATTTTTCGTTTTTCGTAACATAGCGAGCAGATTATTTATCAATTCAGTTTTCCTTAATTTATAAAAATGTAGGTGGATAATTATTAAGCGATATCAACAACAATATGCTTTTTTTTGTCTTGTCAATTTGTTATTAAAATATATTGCAATGGTTTTCTATAATTCACGAATTCCGATTTAAGGGTAATAACGGAACATATTGTTGTGAATTACAGCGTATTTTAACGAATCAATCTACTGGTACTTTGTTGTTTAATTTTGACATTTAATATCTCAAAATATTTGTTTTTGCCTTGCTCATTAAATCTTATCAGTTGAAAAAACATGTACTTTTGATAAGATAATTTGCATAAAAGATAATTCATTCTTAATACGAACAGAAATCTTATTCCTGCAAAGGTTCAAAATTAATTTAATTCCCCTCGTTAGTAAGTTATAGGTAATCATTAAATATAAGTAACTACATACTGCTGTTTCAAAAGATTAATTATTCCATTATTAGATTGAAATTTAAAAACAGCACATTTGAAACAGGAAAAAAATCGCTTTACAGCAGAAATTTGAATGGTTTATTGTATAAGAAAATCAAATTTTCGTATTATGAATGTCATCTTTTAGAAATAAAATGTAAATTTTACTTATTTCAACAACGTAGCCTATATGATTGTCAACGTTTATCTTTCACTTCAATTTTACATACCAATATGCCTTACTAGGTTATAGTCTATCCAGGAGACCTTTTATTAACGGAATTCTTTGAATGACACTTAACTTGTACCTGGTCCAGATATTAGTTCACACTGGATACACAAAGGGCAAATATACCTGTCATCGAGGGGGTACGTGTGACACGGACGTATTTAAAGCAGTTTGATATGATAATTGTAAGTTCAGTTATTTATAAACGAGGAGCTATTTATCTAGCAATTCCGCACACTAAGCGAGTGTTAAGTTTAAAAAAAATTAATTAATACTGATCTATGATAATGTTTAACAAACCTTTTACGTATTAAATTAATTTCACATAGCATGCATGACATGTGTCACTTTGACTAACAAAATGTAACCACTTATTCTAAATAAATGTATTTGTGAGTGCATCTGTGTTCAATAAATAAAGTGAAAAAAGACGATTATTTTACGGCAAATTCATAAAATAATCGACACCGTCCTTACCACGAACTAACACTAAGTTTCTCTCCATAACAGCTTATGACGGAAGGAGATAAAAAGTCTGCCCGACACTAACTATTTCAAATTATAACGATGTCCTCTCATTGAAAAACAGGATTTATAGCAGTCATATTTAAAAAAAAATAGCATCCATGAATCAAAAATAAATGAAGATTTATAATAATATTTTTTTTATTTATATATAGTATATCAAAAAAACAAAAACAAAAATATGTGTACAACAAAACAATATTTGCATAAAGGAACCACTTTATGCTCAGACCCACACCTTGGTAAAGACTATTTGCCACATACACATGAAACGCACCTTTACGCTACGCACACCTTGAGATAATCATGTGTTTCACGTTATATAAATCAAATAACTAAATCAACCTCCCACACACCATTGGAAGGTTATTCAAAATAATACACGTACACACATAGGTTTAGTTGTTAAATCGATGTAGTCAATGAATTACTACAATCAATCTATTTACACAAAAAAGAGAAGATTATATTAAAATCATACTTGATAATCAGGCGTTATAAACACTTTCAATCATGAATGTTTCTAATTGACATGAAAGCGTACATTTTGACAAGATTATATGGTTTTGTGCTTTTATCAGCACTAAGGTTTTTTTCTACATGACCCTACTGATCTTTGTGGTAGTTATGATATAAGCAAAATGTGCATTTTATGCAGTGTAAAGTCACAGTCTCTCATTATTGACAATATACACGAGATGAATAATGACAAACAGTGAATTGTGAAATCACATTATAAGGATTTGGTATGATAGACAGTCGATGTTGATCGACACATTACGTACACATGTATCATATCGCATCAACTTAAATGTACACTTAAAATTGTGTTCTAAATCATTCAATGTTTTTTCAAGTCAGAAAATTTAGCGTTTCCCGTAATTCAAGACATATTTACCTTGTCTCCGATCATTTGGCTGATCACTGACATAATTTCTGTTATTTGGTAGTAGTAAATATCAGGTTGATTATCAGATACAGGTGGTAAAGGCACGTTTACTCTTCCGGATTATCTAGCTACGTCCCAGTTTCTTGAATGAGGTCAGCGTCTCTTTTTTAGAATTGTTATCTCTTTGGTTGCTATAGTCATTCCTTTAAGAAACTGAGAGTTGATAATTTGATTGTTAAATATTAACGCTATATTTAGTTATTTATTATTTTGTTTCTATAAGCAAATGAGTTTGATTTTATAATCTCGAATTACTTATTATCGTATTTGGATAGATATGTAATGTTTTGCCGACTCTGAAATAAGCAACAAATAAATGTTGTTCGTTTCTTTTCAATTATTTTCTTACTCATGTATTGTTTCTTTACGCATCTTTTACTATATTTTTATTCTTTTTAAATCAAATTACAGCAGACCCTGCTGTAACGATCACCGAACTGAAACACCAAAACTTGTTTTGATTTAACATGTTTTTTGTTTTAAAAAATGAAACATTCGCATGGAAATTTTGACAGGTAGGGCAGGCCTAGATCTATCTTACGACAATTATACCCATCTTCATTCATTTATAAGGACAAATATTTACCTTACTCTTCTACAGAACAAAATAGATTCAACTCACTCTCACGCATTCCGTACTTTGGTACAGTACTACGCAGTGAAATAAAGAGCTTCATTCTGCCTCGTTAGTTTTTAGTTGTTTGCCTATCATACACGAATGCACACCAATTATATATGTCTAACGTCAAGTTAAGTACCCACATATTAACCAACGTCGAGGCTAATAAATACTTTGTTATCAATATGGCTACATGTTTGTGACACCAATACGTATATGTCACGCAGTGTGTTGGTGTTGAAATAGACGTTGGTGGTGCATTTGTCCTTTTTTAATATTAAATATTTCGCTCCAGTGGTTTATACATTATGTTGTTACCTTGCAATTTATCTTTGCAATGTCAGTAAGTGCAGAATTTGTTTAAAGAGTTCTATAAATATCAAACCTATGACCTATTTACTTATGTATTCAAATCGTAAATTTGACGCAATTAAAACCCGCTCCAACTACTGTTGGAATGTAAAAATAGCCTCGAATCCCCGCTCACAACGACAATCAGACAAAGGTACGTCCTTCGACACCATATGTTTGTTCAATGTTGATTATGATGCAGTTTAAATTTATAAATTATGGACAATACTGATATTGAATTCACATTCTTGATTAAGGATTCCTACACCACTGTCAAAAACTGATTTATTGTTGGAAACTGTTTACCTCTGGCATATCTATAGCTTTGATAAATCGTATGTAAAAAAAGCCAACATTGAGGGACTTTTTTTTATCAACAACAGTGCTCAAAACATTAAAATAAAATGCAGTGTGTGTAGACCTAGATTCGAACCCTGAGCCACAGATTTGTATGCTACATCTTTGTAACTAATTGAGCTAGCTGGTCGACGGATGTGTGGTAGCCAAACTATGCTAAGTTATAAATTTAGGGGAGGTTACTGTTTATATTTCTACATCTTTGTAACTAATTGAGCTAGCTGGTCGACGGATGTGTGGTAGCCAAACTATGCTAAGTTATAAATTTAGGGGAGGTTACTGTTTATATTTAAAAATGTTAAATGTTCCAAAATAGTGGCAATAAAGTAGACGTTCTATTAAACAAGAAAAAAGACGAAGCACCTTTTTAAAACACAATTGTGTTGATGCAGAAAGCAAAACAAAAATACAAATTTCTTCAGCACCTGATTGTCATTGCATCCTTGTAGGATTCGGTGGTTCTAAAAGTCAAAAAAGAAAGAAAGACGTTTACACATCAAGTTCTATTTAAAAACATGTGCACATATAAATATATATTATGTTGTATGATATTACACTATACAAATATACCTTTGTTTGATTTCATTTTTTAATATAACAGATTTGCATCATTTCAATGTCTCAAAGGTAGTAAATCGGTTTAAAAAAACAATTATTATTTTGCAGAAATGACACAAATCCAATTTTTAAGATGTATGCCAAACTAGTGTTATCTGTATTTTCAAGCAATAGGGATAAACGTTTGTCACATTTTCGTTCAATTATTTGCATTAATTTCTCATTAAAATGTCAGTAAAATATCCTGTTTCGTTCATAGATAGTAACGTTGAAAATATTGCTGTACATAGCCAGTGAAAATGATTAAAGAATCCAAGTAAAGACTAAATATTGACCACACTCATTGGGTCGACTCCTTTTGAAAGTCGTGCACTTTGCGATCAGCCGAATGTTTTTGCTAGTTACCCTTAACCGCTCAGAAAAAATAATAAATAATAATCCTGGTATTTTGAACACATTTTCTATTGTTTATCCAATGTTTTCTGTATATACATTGTATGTATGATGAAGACCATGATGAGGTTGCCAATAAATAGTATTATGAGTGTCCGTGTTGTCAGCCACAAAACGTGAAATGACATACTGTGAAATCACTAATTTTCGTGGGGATTTTAATTTCGTTGATTTCGTCGGTGCTTCTAATCCTCAAATTCATGGGTCCACGAATAACAAGTTTGTTGGCATTAAGTTATTATCCGCATGAGTGGACACTCGTTATCCACGAAATGGTATTTTCGGGAAACCACGACAATTGGGCCCCACGAATATATCTGACTTCATGGATACACCACTCCTTAGAATTCTATCTGAGATATGCGAATACACACGTTTGAAACTATTGAGGAGGCTATTTTTTCAGCTAGATTTAGTTTTCATACATTAATTGAATATATTTCGAACGTTCAATATTTCACACATTTGATTACCGGATATTGACCATAAGTTCAACTATTTGTGCGGTTTCGCTTGTTTTAGAGCTTTTACTGCAGAAGGCAGGTGAATGTAACAACCTGGTTTGGACAAAGTCCTGGTTATTGCTACTGATAAACCGATACCATATGTATAATGCAACTACCCCCTCCTCTAGACACACTTATAAATGAGAAAAAAATATCGCCACGAAAGAGTCGACCCTCAAGCCCTTAAGGCCTTTGATTTTAATGTATTGTTTTTCGAAGCACTTTTGTTTCTTTAAATATTTCTTTTAGTCAGGAGAGACAAGATACAAATATAAGAAAGTAGAGGCTAGTCATGTTTGATATATAGATATATATATTAATTTAGTTTTACAGTATAAATATTCCGCTTATCTTTGATAGACTCAGTGAATTGTTCTTTCAGATAAAGGTGTACCAACATGCCAGGGAGATATGACCGTTTACTGACGTCAATGACAAGAAAGTTGCTTGAAAAACCAAGGCGTAACCATCGAAACAAAGCTACTATGATTTCCGCCATTCCCCTGGATGACATTCCTGTCACTGACACTTCTAAAGTTACTTCCGATGTTCATCCGTTCAAGGACATTCCTGGGCCGAAATGTTATCCGATCATAGGGACCCTGCCTTACTACCTACCTGGAGGTAAATTACATTTGACTTTCGACAAAGTCATCAAAATCATTTATAATCCAGACTGGGACATTCCTTATACATTGTGGACTTAGTAAAACTTTAATAAAGCAGGACGAATTACCGACTTTGACAACAACAGATATTCGTAGTATAATAGTTTAATTTTATTTATATATATGAATGAAATATTCGACAGAACGGAGTTTAAATATCATTGAAATGTAATACTTTTGAACCAGATAAAAAGGCTTTAACAAGCATATATGTTTTACATTGTTAATACTTTGAAACAATACACCTTAGCCAAGATAATATTTTTTCGCATACTCATCCTCCTTTCGTTTTTGTATGGCATTACGTTTATAACTTCGATAATATTCATCAGTTTGGAAATATGTAATGTCAAAGTTTTACTTTATACATAACCAAGGTACGTATTAAACTGGTCGCAACGTTTGAAGTCCGACTGGTCCCTTTGTCTAGCTATGACTGAGTGAGCGTCATAACTTTGCTATGTTACTTTCCATATCATACAGCTGGTTTCCATAAAACCGCGTATCTTTTCAAGGAGAATAAGTAAACGCTGTATACAATTTTAAGAGTAAACATTTGTCACAATCAGCCGGAATCTTTCTAATAGACATTTTAGTTGTGCATTGCATATACGAGTTTTTTAGCATTAACCTTCATACTCTCACCGTGACACAAGAAGTAGGTCAGTTTTTATTACATAAATTATTATCATATGAAGTGGGGCGAATTTTATTACAGTCACTGCATACAACTCTAATCCTGTTTACGTGCATAACCTCGGTGTGAATAAATTGTACAATGTCATTAGTGTTAAGTTCGACATTGTTAGCTCATCTGGTCCGAAGGACCATAGTTAGCTTATGCCGTGGCGCAGCGTCCGTCGTCAAGTTTTTCTTTAAAACCTATATCTCCTCCTAAACGCGAGAGAGGATTTCAACCCAATTTAGTCTGAATCATCACTAGGGGAGAGCAATCATTTCTGAAATAAATGAGGTTGGATCGGCCAGGGGGCGGGGTCTTGAAGGGGAACTTAACTTTTGCTTTAAAACGCATCTCCTCCTAAACGCAAGAGAAGATTTCAACCAAATTCAGGCTGAGGCAACAGGAAGGGAATGCAATCATTTTTTATATAAATAAGGATGGTTGAACCCCTGCGGCCAGGGCCCTGAAGGGGTACTTAGCTAAATTTGCTTCAAAAGGCATCTACTACTAAACACCAGAGAGGATTTCAACCAAATTGAGTCTGAAGCATTACTAGGGGAGGGCAACATTTCTTAAATAAATGAGGTTGGTTCGACCCCTGTGGCCAGGGGGGCGGGGCCCTGAAGGGGAACATAGCTAAAGTTGCTTAAAAACGCATCTCCTCCTAAACGCCAAAGAAGATTTAAACTATATTTGCTCTGAAACTTCATTAGGGGAGGGCAATCATTTCCTAAATAAATAAGGCTGGTTCGACCCCTGGGGCTAGGAAGACCGGGCCCCAAAGAGAAATAGCATCTAATATTTTGCTTTAAGACGCTAATACCCCCTAATTGGATTGTGGATTGTACAATTTTTTGTCAAAAACATTATTGAGAAGAACAAACATTTTTGTATTGAATGAGGTTGATTTGACCCCTGCGGTCCTAAGAAATGGTACAGCTAGATTATCATATTTTATGGTGTAGTGTTCATAAATTGTTTAAAATTGGTTTCTAGGTTTATTAAAGCTTATAGTTGAATGAAAATTAAAGAATTGTCTAATTACACCCTGAAATAGGACATATTACTTATTTCAAAATCTGTTAACATGGCAACTCAATGGAGGCACCTGATTAGTTGAAAGTCAGATAGTGTGGTCCCAGTTGGGTTAGAACATAGATCTTGTCTAGTTTTGAGGAAATTTCATATAAAGATGTACTAATGCATTCAGTTGTAATGACTTATATATAAAACCAGGTGAGCGGTACAGGTCCAATGGACCTTTTGTGTAGGCTACATTACCTGTAGTAAATGCTTACAGTGTTAAAATGTCCTTATACACCGGATGTGTATTAGTATGGACACCGCCATTAACCTCGGAGAGAGCCTTTTTCTTAGTATTCTTCTCTTGTCGAAGTAGTTGTCTTTGAGTGATAAAAATAACAAATTATAACAACTTTATAACAAACCGTTAAAATCGCAAAACAAAACAAAAAAGTATTAAAAAAATGTTAATTTTAATCTTTCAATATATTTGGCTTGCAATAGATCTTTCAAGTAAGCTTTTGGAGTTTTGTTCCGTTTACGGCTTTTCATTATCAATTAAAGCAATAACCTATACTAATGACTATACTACATGTATTTAGACAAGATAATGATTTTTGATGCTTTAAAGATGTCTTTTGTCTTTTTTTCGTAGGTAGATTCCATAAAATGGAGCATAATGAGGTTTCACACATAATGTGGAAGCAATACGGATATGTGTACAAGGAAATTATAACCGGAGGTAAAATACTGGTCCATATAGTTGATCCTAAGGATGTGGAAACAGTTTATCGGAACGATGGAAAGTTCCCCGTTCGGGAAGCATTCTTCACATTAAATCATTACAATAAGAAGTTCCAGGCCAACTGCCAAGGTCTGCTAACATCGTAAGTGCTGCTTTGTTGAATTGGACCTATATAATGTTTAGTGGAAGATAACAGGTGTATTAACAATGTTCGGCCCACATGGGGCAGCAAATGTAATAAATATAGAAGAGAGAAACAAACTGAAATAATACGTACATCAAATCAAATCAAATCAAATAAAGAATGAACTTTATATTTAATTCCAGCAAGACTAAAGCTTTGCTAAATCAATTTCGAACAGAAAACCATTCATTGCAGGGTTTTAATGAAAGTGATAAAATATACAAAATATGATCAATCACAATATTCTGAATCTCAAAAATCAGCGGGGCTTGACCAGGTTTCGAACTCTGGACTTCAGCTTGTTATACTATCGTTCTAACGTAATGCTCTACCTTGTCAACTGAAATGTTCGGCCTTACTTTATTTTGAGAACACACACTGTGCAGTGGGACAGAGATCCTTAAATCTTTTTTAACATGTAATTCAATTCTCTTTTTACTTAATGCATAATAAGATGTACGGAGTATATCAACCTCTGAATATATACAGACAAATGGAACAGTGGCATCATCTACGAGTAAATGTCCAGAAGAAAATGCTCATGCCGAAAACTGTTGCAGCCTACATACCAGAGCATTGTCTTGTGGCAGATGATCTAATGAGTCGGATAGCCTTGTCAAAGAAAGAGGATGGAAAAATAGACGACCTCAGACACGATTTTACAAAATACGCCGCAGAATGTAAGAAAAACAGCTACTATTGTTATTGTTGTTGAAATCGTAATGCCCATTAACACACAAGAGGTGTTTACGGCCAAAACAAGACAGATAACATGTTAAAGGAAACGACATCAAACAAACGGAAAGGTCTAAGTCAAACGTCAACTTCAAAAGTAAAAGTGGCTAAGGCTAGAAATATATTTTTGAACATACAAACACTTTTCGGTAGGTAAAACTTGTAGAAAAAATTAATTTTTCGAAGAGATTTTATAGTTGTTATACACGTTATCATAAAATCAAATTTCTAGTAGGTTGAAGGTTAATGCAAAGTGTTCCGCTTAAAATGGTATGTGCAATGCTACAGTATGCATCAAGGCTTGTCTTTGCATTTCAAAATATTGGAATGGGTAATGTATGAATGACCGATCCGGAGGTAAAGGAGTGTTTGCATGATTAGAAGCATTTCATTTAAAAATATTGTTATCTATTGTTTTTCCTATAAATCCATAAACAAATTTACTAAATTAATATAAGCATGCAATTAAGTTAACTTCGTTATGCTGCAGTTAACAAAAAGAACGCTTCATATTTTAGGAGTAATGCATTTGCATATTGTAGATATAAAGATATACTGGCCAGTTAAACTCTTTAGAATAAATATCCACAGAGCAGGGATATACCTTTGTCATAAAAATAATTTATCGTTTTTAGAGCAATCAACTAGCCTTAAAAAAGTAATGAGTAGCTAATCACAGAAGTAAAGATTTTTAAATATAAACTTAATGCAAGTTAACACCTTTTTACACATTTTGTCATTTTGAAACGCAAAGAATGGGAAATATACGTTCTAATTTAGGTTTGCTTGCTATGACGAGTAGAATACTACTGCTCGGTGCATTCGGTATGGTATTGCAGTAAGGTAGCACTCTAAAAACGGCATCACATCCGCGCTATCAAAAAATCCCGGCTCATTCATACAGTACACAACTACACGAGTACATTACAAACTTGGAGGCACATCCTTTAAAGATCTTAGATGTCAATAGGATGCCAAACCGAATACCACCAAACCATACTAATGGTGCAGAAAGTTTTATTTGTATCCCTAGAACTGTAGGGAGTATAGTCTATGTTAATCCTAAAAAAATGTTTATGGACAGGTATCGGTGTCGTCTGCTTCAACAAGAGGCTTGGTGCCTTCCATGATGACGATAGTGAAAGTGAAGCATCTCAATTTATAAAAGCAGTCAATGACGTCATGCACGTGTCTCATCTGGAGTTTAGACAATTTCCACTGTTTAAGCTATTCAACACGCCTACCTTTAACAAACTCATCAAATCACAGACTTTCATCAAACAGTAGGTTCTACTTTCTTCATAATTGATATTGTCTTGAGCTTAACAAATTAGAAGGATAATACTGAAAAGGAATAAGTCCATTGTTAGAAACGAAAATGAGATAAGATACGAAAAATAAGTCTTCTATCTGTGTTTGGTTATTGATATTTTTTAATTATCTTATATAATTCATGTTTAAGACGCATTGCGCCTACCAAAACAACGTATGATTTAGTTATTTCTTCAAAGAATGATTCATAAAAAGTAAGTGTTTTTGAACTAATATACCTTTTCTTCTTTTTCTTTTTAACTGTAGAGTATATTTCGATTAAATTGTCTAAGTAAGTAAGGTATTGTATTATTCTATTCGGTAATCTTTTGTCATTCCATCATTTCGCTTCAGAATTGCCATTAAGTATTCCAATCTAGCATTAGAGGCAGCTCAGAAAAGATTAGAGGCCGGCGAAAATGTGGATGGAGAACAAGGCGATCTCGTACCTTATCTTATGTCGAAAACGTCCTTGAGCAATGAACAAGTGCTTGTTGTCATCAGCGAATTCATATTTGCTGGAGTTGATACGGTAAGTGTTTTGTTTCTTTTGTCTCATTATTATAATTAATACGACAACAAAGTTAATGTCGCCAAAGAACTCAAACAACATGAAACGAAGAGCCTACTGCAACTGAACGGAGGTGGTCTTATTTAAAAATGTAAGAAACTACTAGTTCAATGCCTGTGTAACAAAAGTGATGTTTAGGGTTGTGTAATATGTTTACACAACCTATTTAAGGAGTTTTTATGACCTTCCCTTCTGAATGATTTCCTACCTTTTTTGGTTCCTAGCATTCCGGATTGGACCTACTATATAAGAAGGTCAAAAAAAGCTATTTGGTGAACTGAGAAATCACTAATATTTGTAAAAAACAAAATCAATATGTTTTAATTTTGTTGATTTCGTGGATAATTTTCATTCATTTATAGGTCTACCACGTAATACAACTTTGACATGAAGTAGTTTTCCGTTTGAGTGGTTAGTCGTAATGTACGGATTCATGTACCAACGAAACCGGTTTTGTTTCGGGAAACCACGAAATTTAGTGGATCTCACGAAAATAACTGATTTCACAGTAATACATTTTTGGTATCTATGGTGCAATTCCATATTATTGTCTAACTTGCGTGCTTTAGCAGTTATAGACATAATCAAAACTCAGAGTCGATACAATAAGGCAACAAAGGTACTGTACGAAGGAACTTGTAACACTGTAACAAGCAATTAAGTTTCCCTTTCCCAATTCAATGTGGTTTTTCTTATATACAGACCCTCACCTTAAATTTCTTTTAGAAATATATGTAGCACATAACATATTGATTGTAGTTATTACGTTCTAAGTACCGAGAACACCGATCCGTAAAGTCACATCTAACATTAACGGATACACAAACTTAATTTTGCTTTCATAGAACACCGACCTAATGTTTTGACTCTGGTTGAGAATATCACACCTTCTGCTGACCAATTAGTTCAGTCAGTCAGAGTGATAGTAGCCCCGCTATCTTATTCTATACTCAGAAAACTCGTATTGGTTGTAGATCGTTTGTTTAATCTGGACTATTTGTTTATAAAGTTCCCGTAAAGTATGTTTTTTCTTTTCAGTAATGACTTGTCAAAGTAATAGTTAAACAGATTCCAATGCAAAAGTACATATTTTTGCAAATGGCACGGCGGTTTAATGTATCAAAATTAGAAATTAGGTTCATGTTGTGATGCCTACGATGCTTTTTTATTTTATCGTTGTAAATTGACATCATAACCTTATGATAGAGATATTTTTAATAAGGTGACAATATTTTTTACAGACGAGCCATCACATGTCGTTTATGCTGTATTTATTGGGGCGACATCCTAACATCCAGAACAAGTTATACAATGAAATCAGGACACTCCTGCCCACCCCTGACACCCCAATTACCGACAAAGCTATCCGAAACATGTCTTACCTTAAGGCTGTGGTAAGGGAAACCCACAGGTACGAAATATATTTCTTCGGTTTCGAAGTTTAGTTTGTGTTTTCTCACTGCATAAACGTTTTTACTGTACGCTTTTTTCTCGGTGATCATCTTGTTTGTGTTTGTTATTGACGTTGTTTTCCGGATGGTCTATTTTAAGGGGATGGTTTCTGAAGGATACTGAAACGCTTTTAGTAATTGTTTGTATTTTAAATAAGAATTCCTGAATAGGATGTTATTACTCAATCTTTTAACTAAAAAAAACCAAGAGAATACTGAATTGTCAACGAAACCATAATTTGAACCAAAAAGCGATAAAGCAAGGGCAAAATATGAGAAATATTTACATGCACATCCTGGGCGAAGTACAAGGAGAATTAGTGTTCAATAGGGTAAGTGTCTTCTATTGCATCGACGACTTCCACACATAATAAATCTTGGTAAAATCTAAACAATGTCACGTGCTCGCATCAAGAACTCGGATAGTGCCAACAAAACCACAAGGCACTCTCCTGAACAAAATAAAAAATATCGACCTTCATATCACACAAAGAAATACCTTATTTCCCCGTGAGATTACAAGTCAATTGGTTGTGTCTTGACTCTAACTGGTTAAATTTATGATTTTGTTGTCTTTCAGATTGCTCCCCGTTGCCCCAGGAAATATCCGCCGGACCAGTGTCGACTTGGTGCTGTCTGGCTACCACATTCCTGCAGGGGTAAGCACAACGTGGTCAATTTAATGTGTACCAGTTAAAATACTGACATGGATTTGACAGGAAAAAGAATGAATTGTGCAACATATAAGGCAAGCTCTTTCCCTACATTGTTCATAATCAACTAATTTTGCATGCATTATCCATGTTTTATTTATTTTGAGGGTTGGGATGTAATAAGAGCTATCCCTTATCTTGTTATCCATGCCTCGTCATTTCATGTTCCTTATGTCCGTTCTGTCCCGTTACATTATTCATGAAAGTTTATACCAAGGTGAAGTATGAGAATACCTCGAATGAGTTAGTATTTTATGATCCAAATGACAATGCTACGGTCACTGTTGCTATTTATAGGTCAATCTCAGGGTAAATGGGGGCATTCATGTCTTACAGACATTGCAACCTTTTTTTAAATCAGTATTGTATTTTTCTATACGTGTTTTTTCTATTAAAACCATTCTCAATAAAAACTCATTAGTATTTGTCACATTTCTTCCTAATGGTCAGTGTAGTAAATTTTTGACATACTGTATCCATTACCAAATTTTGTAAGTACAAACAAGTGTGTCCTTTGTCACCTATCAATATTCCAGGTCTAAAACTCAGCTGGATTTCGTAGTCCCAGGGGATTGCTGTAACTTTGTAGCCACTGTATCTCTTTTAAGTAGTGGCACGGTTCGCGATAAAACACTTTGCTCATTATTAATATGAAATTAAGCAGTGTTCCTCCAATATTTGTAATTCAAATAAATTACATTTTTTTACGTGCCACTCCTTCTGTTTCGGCAGTTTTCTGTTTTTGGTCAATCTGAATTTTCATCTGTTTGGCCCCTGGAATCACCGATGAGTCCTAGAAGGGCAAAGCAGCTGTTTGGTCAGTGTGGTTCATTTCTAGCGTTCTGTATCTATTTAACTCATGTTATAGGTGCATCACATGTGTGTCTTACGTTCATCTTTTCAGACATCTGTCGCATTGCACTCCGATATATCGAGTAGGGATGCCAGGGAGTTTCCTGATCCAGACGCATTCATACCGGAAAGATGGGTTAGAGACAATACTGCTACCAAAACAAACCATCCGTTTGCCATGGTTCCATTCGGATTTGGGCCGCGTGCTTGTGTCGGCATGCGCTTTGCCGAACAAGAAGCACAGATTGCTGTAATCAAGGTATATATTTTTAAGAATCACGTTTGTTAATTAACTGAATGAATTAGAAGTTGGTATTGCTATTGGAGAATAGATAGCGGCATCTCTGTTTTGGAAATACCATAAATGTCATCATGAAATTAGTGTAGGAAATTTCGTAATTAGAAAATATTTTCATATTTTAGTATGACAATGTTCCCCCAAATAACCATTGAATTGGAAGTTATGTTCACTGCTGCACTGATGTATTTAACATCACCACCTGAAAGGCTTTTGCCCATACACCAGAATTAGAAATCAAGTGAAGAGAAGATGTTCTCTAGGTTGGTATATAACTAGGTGTCGCGTCAAGTTGTAGACAATAATAATCTTAACTTGCAGACAAAATAACTGCGGGGAAATATATACCGGTTGAAGGGAGACAACCTCAATATTGTTTATAGATTGAAGGGAGACAACAATCCGTTTCAACTTTTCCTTATTTCAAATCCGAAGTGTAGGCTGTTGTAACAAACAAACTAACACACATGAAGTGTTAACCTTACGAATTGCACAATTACCCTACATTTATATTGAATGTTGAACAAAAAGTGACGTTTCTCTTTTATGAATAAATCGTCATATGTTGTCCAATGAATGTGTATACGAGGTCATTGCAATCTATGGGACATGCATTCAAAATGAATTAAAAATGTGTTTGTTCTGTGATATTTAGTAAATCTATCAGCCTCACACGTTCTTTTTTCGCAGATTCTGCAGCGTTACCAGGTAAAATATGTTGGTGTGCCACTTCGACGTGAAGCCAGTGTAACATACAGCCCTGCCAACAAAATGGCTTTCCGTTTCGTGGAAAGGTTATGATTGACTAGCTTGCAGTTTTAAGATTATTGAAGAAGATATTCTACTGCCAATTAAATTTTATATGGTGTAAGTGTAATTTCTCACAATGTACAATTACCTCACTAACACGTGTGATGTGTTAGAAACAAGAAAGTAACTTTACATTTACTTATTTGTGAGAGTGTTTAGCAGGCGAGATCATATGTTATAGAAAGCATTGTTCATAAGCCATTCCAACCGAGTAAAGGCCTGTTTTGTTTCATTTTTAAAGTATTTCTTTACATCTAAAGGATTAATTTCTACTACGTTAGATCGTATGATGGACACAAATGTTTTACAGAGTAAGCATAGATCTATTATGTTAAATGACTTGACGTTTTCCTCATTAAGACGGAAAAAGCATCAGCTAGTTTCCTGTAGTGCTAGGCTCTGTATCATTTGGCCACCCATTAAACATAATATATCCGAGGTTGGTTTTTTTCAGGCTTGCTGATGAGGTCAGATTATTTATGATTGATATTAGATAGTACGCTTATAAAATAACATTAATGTTTGTACTGAAAACAGGACGACCGAAGTGTTCATGTTTTCATGTTCACACTTTTTTCGTGAATTTAGATTTTCGATTCAGATAAAAAACGATTTTCATTATAGAATATGATTCTGAAGAGAGAAAAAATTTTTATAGATAATTTTTCACTAGAGTTCACATCAATCTTCACTTGATGTTTACAGTTGTGATTCATATATAGCTCTCGCAATAAGGGTGCTTTACAGCAAGTTAAGGTAAGGACTCTCTATGCCATCTGTTGTGTTTCAATCCCTTTATCCTAGGAATGGATTCGAACCACATTTTTTTGTCGACGATACAGTAACTGTGGTGATTACTGGGGAATAAAGCGCTACATACAAATGTGTTATTTCACTGTACTGACACATTCCAAGATAGAAATGGAAGAAGACTAGCCTGAAAGTGTACTTATTTATTAGATGATAAAACATTGTACTGAAGTTGTAATTCAGTTTAACTACAAGTTAGAAGAAAACACTTTTATTAAGAAATTTGATTTTCGTTTTTTATTGTAGCAATTCTTATTATCACATTAAAATATATATCATTATTATATAAGTAAACAATAAATCTTTTAGATGATAGGCATTCGTTTCATGACATTTACCGAGTTCCATATTTAAACAGATTTAGTAGAAAACCAATGAATGAGATAATGAATAAATTAATAAGCGAACGAATGAATGCATGAACGAATGACTGGACTAACAATCGAAGAGATGAAATGAACGAGCAAATAAGCAAACTAATAACTGAAGGAAGGTGTAGATAAATGAATTATTTTTTCACCTTAAATACACATGCCATGAGAGACGTTACAGATGTCAATGTCTGTTGTTTTTAGTGTAATACGTTTTTCACAGTACCATGTTGTCAGTTACCCATATAGTGTTTGATGTGTCATGGTAAATAGCGGAATGTATGCTTTTGTTTGGGACATTTCGGGTATGATATTTCCCTTCCTATCCAATTTTTACTACAAATTTGTATGTATATTTTTTAACAAAGAGTGTTAATTTACAAGAAAAAGTTAAAATTCTCGCGTGTTCAAAGGCTCGTCATACGACTCTTTAAAATGATCGTGAAATGAAATATATATTGTGTTAGCAATTATTCTGAAATGTGTATATATATAATCTTTAAAAATAAAATATTTGCTTTTGGATTTGTTTGCGCTATTTTACCAAATACTACAAAATATTGATTACCTTTAAAATTGCAAACCTTTTATTAAAGCTATTTTACTTTCAAAATTCTAGATGTAATGTTGCTGACCATATTAAGTTGTGCAAAGAGACTGTAATTTCACAGTGTTTTAGCTCCTTTGCATGATCTCTGTAATATCGTTGATTGTCAGAAGCTGGAGTCGATGTTATGATGCTCTGTTATGGGTCTGTAAATGTAGTGATAGATATTATGAACTCAAATTGCTTACATGCATTGAACTCTTCGTTTATTATCCAATTAATTTAATGTATTTGCCTACATATAGGTACAATAATAACAATAAATCATGAAACGGTTCTCATTGTTCAGGCATGTCAAAGTTCAAATCAACTTACTAAATTATAAATTGATAAAATAATGTGAAACGGTCGAAACGTGAATTCTTTACATTAAATGTGTTTGACTTATATAAAAACTCCAAAATTGATTAAAGGTAAAATATGAATAAATATTAATGTATAACTAGACCTTAGAAATTTGGCTTGAACACAGACTCTGAGTATGAGCAAGAAAACGATGCCATGAAGATGAGCACTGCTCAGTCCCTATTACAGATTTTGTTTCGTAGCATGCGAGTTAATTACCACAAGGACCGAGTTACACAAAGTGCGCTATACACACACTGGAATTAACTCAATAACAAACATTTTTCCAGGTTAGCTATCTTATTACATACTTGTATACACTGTATAAATAGATTGTTTATCATAAGAATATATGTGTGATGACGTACATTGATATTTGTATTTCTGTTTTACGTCATTCATCTATTGCTGTTATATTGTTATAATTGCTTAAAGTATATTGTCATGATTTTTTATATTGTTATGTTATAATAAATAGTATAAATAGATTTGCGGGTGTTTGTTAGAGTCACTTCCCTTCACAAAGTATGATAAACATTGTTTCTTTGCAATGGTTACTTATCAAATTTTAAAGTACATATTTAACGGTGAATTGTTGACGGGTACCATACAACTTGGGGATATTATCAACGAGTATAAAGCCTTACCGTTATATAAGGACCAAACAAAAGTGAAAGCAAATTACATCCTTCATCTATATAGACAGCTATAGTATATATAGCCAAGTCAATGTACCAATGGCGAACAATTAATTTCACGATTTATTAATCTTGGACATGTACTTAAAGACAGGTTTCATTATTCTTCACTAATATTCGAAGAAAGAAATCACATGCTCTACCCCACCGCGTGTTGTAACATGCGACTTATGTGGGGACTTCTCAGAATCGGGGGTTTATTCCGTGACTTTTGTGAAGGGCCATTGAAGAAACCAATAAAATTTCAAGGTATCATTTAAGTCAAGATTACTCTCCTATATAATCCTTATGAAAATTGAGAATATCAGTTACGTTATATATTATCTACCTTCCCTAAATTTTTCAAACATGTAACAGGAAACAAACATGTCTCTTGTTTTGCCTCACTATATAATTACCTTCAGGACCTGGTGCAAGTCTACACCTGATAAGTAATGTGTTATATGCCTACCATATTTAACTTAATGCAATAAATCTATCGTATACATTAATATGCTAACATCAGCTATATTAACTATCTGATATACGACCGTATTCAGTGTAAATATACACATTAAAGCCACGTGCGCATCGTACGGTCACGCACTTAGTTGACCGTAGATGGTGATGACCGTACATGTAGTTGACTGTAGTAGACCGTAGTAAAACGTATTAATCATAGTAAGACGTAGTTCAACGTATGACTACCGTAGTTTAAACGTCAAGATTTGTTTGTTTGTTTGTTTGATTTTGTTTAACGTCCTATTAACAGCTAAGGTCATAAACGTCAAGAAACCCATGATTTTCAACATGTTTAAAATGTCTACTGTGAGTTTAGATGCCAAGACCCTACTTGACCTTAGTTTAACGTCGTTGCCCTACTTTTTTTAAATTTCCTTTTTTGTCAATTTTAAACCCACTTCAACCTAGTTGACCGTACGTAGCTACGTTCAACTACGTTCACATGAAAAACGGTCAACTACGTGCGTGTCCTTATGATGTGACCGCTGCTCAAGAGTGAATAACAACTACATACATACATTTGTGAAGTGATTATGCAGCTATTTTAAGTATCGTCACACACCCGTATATACTTACCTGCTGCATTGTGTAATAAAGTCTGAAATCAACTTATATGATGTGGTCCAAACGTGTGTACATACAGTAACCTGGAATACTTTTACCCGTCTTTAGAAAGTCTGGACGAAGCCTAAGGAAAGCGTCAAAGGTCAGTAAGGAGATTATTTAACTAATAAACTGCAACTGGTATAACTGTCACATGTGTCACAGACAAACTGACTGGTGCGCGCTAGCATCTATGCAGTTTATTGCTTATATTTATATTTCCGTAATGAGAATTCGCAAAAATTATGTCTTTTCCAACTTTCAAATATCCGGCTTATTATTGTCAGGTCAGGTCAATATCTAGAACGGCACAAATATACCAGCTGACGTCACGCGCTATTTACCATACACAATTGAAAAGGCTCCGCAACTTTCGTTGATAATTCATTTGTTTTTAATTTATATACATATCATATTCTCAATTCATAAAAGAGTAACAAATAATATGTTGTAAGTAACTTATCAAATGTGGTGAAAAATCCATGCGTAAAATTGTTTGTTGATCTCACAGACACTTGAGACAGGCAGCTGGTGTTCGGGATCAAAGCAGAAGATAACGATCAGTTCGGTAGTGACACTGTTAAGTCGCTCGGAGGTGCAAAGACCAACTTCAGTAATAGTCTCATAAGATGAAGTTGCTATTGGCAGTACTTTAGTAGTAATATAGAAGGGCTTTGCCACAGCAAATGTAAATATATGTTGATACTCTCACAAGCGTTAGCAGTTTCTTGAATCAACACTGCAGGGTTATGACAGCCATTTTTGAAACGTTAGTGTATGTCCACATAAGTTCAAAGAAATAACCGGGGTGGGGGGACAAGGGGGCATCAAGGACCGTGTTACATAACATATAATACAATAACGTCGGAAGAAGGATGTCAGAGTTTTATCATCCCTCCACAAAGGTACTGAAGCACCAATGGGTGTCAAGTGACGGCATCTGTCAGGGGTATAGAAAATAAATAAAGCGTCTACTATCTCTTTTGATTAATGGCATTGGTCATAATACAAACATTTATAGATTGTTCTAATTTGAAAACCAGTACACTGTACTTCTCTAAATTTAGAAATTCATAATTCAGGGGTTTTACGCACCCATCCCTCCGTTTAAACAGTATGTTGGAGAGATTAAACTTCAAACGTTTCGGTCCGTCATCACTGATGAGTTCTCGATGTCGCAACAGCTGTATGATGCCCTGAGAGACGTAACACCCGGGTAAGAAGATCGAGTTAGGAGTAGGCATATTACCCGTTGCCATGAGTACGAACACTGATTTTTATTTTTGGGGATTGTGGTATATTTGTTTATTTAGAAACTACTGTGCATACTTAAAACATTTTCAAACTTCAAACTTGTTTCAACTTCAATTTCTAATTCATCTCGTCCGAAGGACCATGATTAGCTTATGCCATAACGCAGCGTCCGTCGTCCGTCCGTCCCTCCGTCAACTTTTCTTTTAAAATGCTAATAGTCCTGAACGACCCAGTAGATTTGGACCAAATTTGGCCTGTCGCATCCTTAGGCCAAGGGGACTCAATTTTGTATAAAATGTAGGGATTAAGTGATTTTATCCTTATTTGGTCTGACGCATTCTTGGGTCAAGGGAACTCAATTTTGTTGTAAATGGTGGGTTTGTACCCCCTGGAGGCAGAGGGGCGGGGCCCAATAGGGGAATAGTGGTAAAACCTTTCAAATCCTTCCTCTACCTTAAGGATTATGGGATTTCATCCAAATTTGACCTGGAACATCCTTTTGCCAAGGGTACTCAATTTTGTATAAATGGTTGGTTTCGACTCCCTTGGGGCAGATGGGCGGGGCCCAATAGGGGCAATAGAGGTAAACTCTTTGAAATCCTTCTTTACCCGTAGGGATAAAGGGATTTTTTCCTTATTTAGTCTGGAGCATCATTGGGCCAAGGAGACTACATTTTGTATATGCGAGAGGGACGGAGCCCAATAGGGGAAAATAGAGGTAAATTAAAACCCTGTTTCTGCCGTAGGGATAAGGGAGGTTTTATCCTAATTTAGTCTGGAGCATCCTTGGGCAAAAAGAACTTGATCCTGTATAAACGGTGGATGTGGCCCCTCTGGGTTCAGAAGGGCGGCGCTGAAAAGGGAATTTGAGGTTTAAATCTTTAAAATTCTTCTCCTTATACAGTTGTGGGACCGCACAACGCACCAAAAATACCATGCGCACATCGTGCATACATCGTTAACACACCGTCCGCACATCGTCCACACATGGTGCGCACAACTGTGCGATTTAACAATCGTTCGCCCCGTTGTGCGCTTCTTTCCGCACAACTGTGCGATTTGATACAATTTGTTGATCAATAATACAGAATGACAAACATACGGAAGGCTCGTATGCACTAATGTACACTATATATAATTTAGATTATGTACAATTTCACAATGCGTGTAACACAGTATACAGTGACCGTTAAACTGTCAAGAATGGGGTTGGTTCCTCGGTAACAGAACAGGTAAATAACAATTTGATGAGTGACCAGAGTTGTACCTGGCCTTTGCCTGACACATAGAGCTGAGTGATATGTCATACCGTATGACCGTTATGAAAACACAACTGGACGTTTAATATTTGTTATTTAAATTTGTTTTGGTCTATAGCTCCCCTTCACCTGGTTTTCACACCTTGGCGAGTTACGTAAGTGCCCCGGGCAGGGGAAAACTACGGTCCAGGTACAAAGTGGCTATGTTAACCTGTGTTGCCGAGACTGTGTGTCGATTATGGTCGTTTAAAAAACAACGAAATCACCATTTCTAAATTTAAGAAAGTATAAACAGAAAGATAAGATTACAGATGTAGCTTGATTGTAAAAACATGGTAGAAAATCAAGTTTATATGTTTAAACACGAAACCGTATACATTGTTTAGCCATTCCTCAATTTACACCAACCATGATTCTCATCGCACAACGTCGTCGATTGTTCGCACAAATGTGCGCAAGCAATGATCGTCCAATTTTTTATCGTTCGCACTTCGTGCACACATCGTTCACACACCGTGCACACATCGTGCGCACACCGCACATCGTGTAACGTTGTGCGATTCCACAACTGTAAGAATGATTTCCCATGGTTGCTTTATTATCCAGGTGAGCGATACAGGCCCTCTTGGCCTCTTGTTTCTTTTTCTTCTCAACACATTTGACATACACAAATTTAATGTATAGGCATGCGTGGTTGTACAGAGGGATAAAAGTATCATAGTAATAGAGGTGTACTGCTGTTACATATAATACATTAAGTCACTAATGATATTCGAAGTTAAGTTTCCGAACAAATATAATGTATAGCCTATCATTTGCTGAGTCATTTCAGGCAGTAACAATTTCTGTTCTGATTTATGGACACAAGAAAAGTTGTTTAATTAACAGGCCAACATCTTCCGCAAAATGGCTGCTGCAGAATGGTTTCTGATTAGTCGATTTATGCATTGTCCAATATCCCGATGTAAAAATGTGCGCTGTCACTACATTTGTACGAATACTACTGCGATCTGCGTTGATACTTTTTATTTAACAAAATATCCGTGTTAGGTCGGGTCCTGATTGGTCGACATTTAGATATTGACCGATGTTATTGATTTTGTAAGTATAT